ATCAGTAAAAACTCAAGGATTCTTGAACATAATTCAAAAGAGTAGAATGACCAAGATTTGGGTGAATTGAATGCGAATGGATTGAGCAGGTAAGTAGACATAACCCTGAACTTTTTATAGAGGTTAAACAATTATTTTGAAGAATTAGTTTTTTTTTTTTTTAGTTTAGTTTAAGGAATATGCTTTTACATCAAGAGTTTTTTATGGTTAGATAAAATTAGCACTAATATAATTTAGGTATTCACTAAATTTTTTTTATCATTAATCCTCATGAAAGCAATACTTTACTCACTCTTTATTCTTTGATTAGATAATGTGCCGCTTACATTTTTAAGTGAATGTTTCACGGTTATCAAGTTTTTGCCCCTTCCCTTAATTCCTCCCCATCCTTCTGAAGGTTCAAACATAAGATCTCCAACTTAAAAGACCGAAGCTCTTAACCACTTGAGACAGCCCTTGGCACAGCATAATACAACCTGAGCATTGTGGAAAATCCCAGACAGACTAGTGTTGAAAAAAAAACTCATATAAAACCACATTATCAACCAAGATAAGGCACAAACTTACAAAGATAAGCCACCCTTCCATTGCTAGATTCAACCTCATTGGCACCTCGGAGAATGGGAGCAATCTCACTCAGTGATGATGGAACCACCTCACTATCAAAAGCAGCCTCCCCAAGATTCCCTGCCATCTGTCTCCGCAAAATCGGCCTCTGCGGCTGTCCAGTTGGTTGGCTAGAGCCCCCACTAGACGACATCTTTGCCCCAGGGTTGTAGTAAGAACCTCAAGAACAAGAAACACCTTGCTTTCCTGCAACTTAAGAAATAAAAAATACAATAACTGCAACCACGAATCAAGCTAGGAAATAAACAAGATTCAAACACAGTGAAAGCTGAACCGTAAATCAAAACCAGAAAAGGCAACCAAAGAAGAAGCAAAAATAGTAACCAAAAGGAGCCATACCAGGCGATCCAGAAAAGCTAAGGCGCCGAATCTGACATCTGCAAACAGAAACAACGAAACGCTGGAAAGTAAGAAGAGAAAGTACACAGTATGCACAATGTGAACTGGAATTTTTAAGAAGAAGAAGAAAGCTCACAGAGAAAAGACCTAGCAGAATATGGACCGGTGGGGGGAGACAGAAATGTTGCTGCAACTTTATGCGACTTAGCAGGAAAGAAAAAGGAAACAAAAGGGAAAGTATTGAGAGCAGAGCTGAGACTAGAGATAAAAGAAGTTAGTGCAGAATTACAACTGCTGCCAGCGAGAAAAGAGTGCCAGAAATCTTGGAATTAACAGCAGTGCCATCCGATGTTCAACGGCATCTGCACGCTACCTTGTTTACTGAAATGCCCCGGGGGTGTTTTATAGTCAATTAAAATTTCCTTTATCCCATTAATTTGCTTGTGGCGACTTTTTTTTTTCCTTTTATTTATTCTTAATTATTTAAATTGTTTAAATAAAAAAATTAAAAAATAAATCTCATAAGTAATGCTTTTACCATTACTATAGAAGAAGTCACAAGTTATGTTAAGGTCTTGATTTTTTTATCATTTTCATTTATTTAAAGGTTAGATGCTGGTTTAGTCCCTCAACTTTCATTTTTGAATTAAATTTATCCTTGAACTTCAAAAAATATTAAAATAATCCCTAAACTTTAATTTTTGGAACCAATTTCATCCTTCCATCAACGGAAGTGCTAATGGCACATTAAGTTCCTAAAAAATAATATACTTTTAACGACATGTAAAAAAATGTGTCTCTTTTAATGATATGGCATTTGTTTCTCATCTATGTCAAATTATTATAATTTTATAATTCCACTTAATCATTTTAATTAGTTTGTACATAAAAAATTTTAAATTACTTAAATGCCCCCTTCTTCATCCTCCAACCCCTTTTTCTCTTTGCCACTGCCTTTTCCTCCTACAACCCTTTTTCTTCTCTCAGATCTGATCATCCCTCACTACTTTTATCACCATCTTCAGTTTTTTTTTTTTTTCCTTCTCTTTTCCCTTGAGGTCTGCTGGTTTTTTCGAACCCAATAGACACTGGGTTCTATCGTTGCGTTTGAACCCAATGGCCGCAGCAGGTGGAACCCAACGGCCACAGCAGGTGGAACCCAACGACCGCAGCAGGTGGAACCCAACGACCGCAGCGGCTAGAACCCATTGGCTGTTGGGTTCCAGCAGCTGAGTTCAAACACAGTAGTGGCCGCTGGGTTTCAGGTTCCAACGGTTGGAACCCAATTGCCACTAGGTTTGAACACCTAGGTTCCATGCGGATGCTAAGTCCAAACCCAACAAATTTTTTCGTTTTGTGCAAAAAATCAAAAAAATATTTTTATTTTTTGTGGTTTTTGTTGTTTGACGATGATGATGAAGAATAATTGATTGATGAAGAATGGTGATGAAAGTGGACTCGATCTTTGTCACCGAGACCCGTGGGTCTCACTTAAAGGGAAGAGCAAAAGTGACGAGAATCCAATGTGGACAATAAAACTCCCCGTGGCATGTAATGGATAAGTAATTTTTCATGTCATTAAAGGTTTAAAACACAAAAATGCTTTTGTGGCAACTCAACGTGCCATTTGGCAATTCCGTCGACATAAGGATGACATTGGTTCCAAAAATTGAAGTTCAGGATTGTTTTAGTATTTTTTGAAGTTTAAGGGTAAATTTGATTCAAAAATAAAAATTTAAGGACCAAACTTGGCATTTAACCTCATGTAAATTCTATAACAATGAAATTTTTTGAAGATAACATGTAGTATAAAATTTTAAATTTAAAAATCTTAAATTCTACCTAATAATCTCATTATGTTATAGTAGAAATTAATTTGTAGATAGATAATGCTTATAAATGTGAGCTAATATTAAATTTATACTATATAAATAATGATTATGGGAACTTTTTTCATTTCTTTTGAGTTTTAATTTTAGTCATTTATTTGCAATTGGTGCTAATTGGATTAATCATTTATCTTATATAATCCAATCTTTTACTGCTAATTTATGTGTAAGAACAAAAAATTAAAAAACTACAAAAAATAATAAAAAATATAATATTATTATCAATTACTAGTACATATGAATCAAGTGACATTTAAGATTATATAAAAAAATTCTCAATTATTTTCCTCACAAATATTCTAAAACTGACAGCAAAATACTCTATCAAATTCAAACGGGAATTTCCTCCATTTTTTCTAGTAGTACCGTAGTAATAACA